CACTGCTTTAGAGCTGTCTGACTATGGGCAATTCTATTCATCCTCAGTCTTGGTTTAATAATATCTCATAAGATTGTGGCAAACATTAAAAATTAGATGATGTATGTGGTACACAGTTTTGGCACATAGTAAGTGCTCAGTGATGGCATCGATGTCGTTAATCAGCCTCCTGACATCCACTTTCTTATCCTGGCATTCAAGGCCAAAGTCCACTGCTCTGGCTTCCCCTATTGGTTGATGTTGCTTAGTAATAGGTGCTAGGTACCCAGCAGGCCCTCAACAAATTCTTGAAAAACAAGAGAATGAATCCATCAATAATATAATTACAGTGGTGTGTATGTGTGTGTCCTCAAAAGGAAGATTCAACCCTAATACATTAAAGTGCTTTCGATGACACACAAATGACTGGTCACCGAAGATTTCTTTGCATTAGAAATTTATTTGTATGTTTGTTTTAAAATCCTAAATGAAACCCAATAACAAGTGGATAAAAGCCTAGTCACTCTCAGAGCCACCCAGGCCCTCAGTGACTTATCTCTGTCTCATCTCCAAAGCCTCTCTGAGCCTCCCTGTGGCATTCCAGAGCTCAGAGGAGCCGTGGTGAAAACTATTACCCTAAAGAATCACTAAAATGAATGTCTCAATTTACTGTATGTTATTTGGCTGTTTTAATAGTGCTTAAAAAAACCTTTTTTTTTTTTCTGAGGGGCAAAGTTCAAACTAAAAACTGAATTTCAGGTCATTTGTACATCCCATAATTCCAGACATCTCAGCCACTATGACCTGGCGATAATAAGCCCTGTTTTTCAAGGAAGGAGTCTAAGGGGAAATCTAAAATTATGAAGTACAGGAAACATCAAGCATATGTTCAAATGTACCGAAGTCTCTGACTTTCCATGCTCTGGTCTCGAATCTCCCTCTGTCCCAAGACTTCCAGGGATGAATCTTCCTTCTCATTGGTGCCGGGTTCCTTAGTACTCCTAATTATACAATCTCCTCTTGCTTTTTAGTGACCTCCTTCCTCTCCTTGTTTAAATCCTACACTTCTTCCAAGTTCTAAGACAAATTCTACCTCTCCTAGGGTAGAGTTTCCCACCACTGCCTCCATTATTTAGACCCACACAGTGTAGCATTTAATTGTTTTGTGTTAGCTTTTTCTTTCTAAATAGGTCACATTCTCCTTGGGGGCAAAGATTATGCTTTAGTCTCCCTCACTTCTCACTCGGAGCCTCTCCAAGTGATAGATACCTAGTAGGTGCTGATTAAATATCTGTTGATTGATTTCCTGCAAACTCCTGGGAAAGCAGTAGCCCAACCAAGGCAGTGCTCTGGATCTCCCTTTTGGAAGACATTCTTCGAGGAATGGGAAAAATCCTTCAAAAAGTCTTCGTCAGTGAATGTGCTGCTTTGAATGTGCTTCTAATGAGGTGCATGCAAGGTTGGGGGGGCTGTAGGAGGGGCTGTTTTCCCCTCCTTTTGGGGAGTAGGAGGGTGAGGGGTGGAGTACCCCCCAGGGGCACAGGGACTCTGGGGCTCCTTCTTCTGGGTAGGATGTAGTTCAAAAAGGGAATGCTTGTACGTTTATGCCAGCATCTAAGTTCGCATAGAGTATGGCTCTCACTCACCAACCAGGAACAAGAGGGCTCTAACTCTGATGACTTACAGCTAGAGAGAGAGAGAGAGATCCCCTTTGGGGTTGATAATATTCTCTTAAGTCGGACTGGGGAATCCTGATAGAAGGAGTTTGCTTGAGCAGTGGTGAAAGGTGAAAGATGACTACAAATTAGCTCCACACCTCTATGTCTGCCTTCTTCATGATGTACTAGGGCTTAAAAGCTCCTTTCCAGGGCAGAGATGGGGCACAGTGTCCCTAAGCAATTAAGAGTAAAGCTTCAGTGCCCTAAAGAGAAGGAAACAAAGGAGAGGCACTAGCAGGACTGGGCTAGATGGGTACAGGACGAGGAAAGCTCCTTCCTCTTCTCTGGTGAGAGAAGGAACATGTGGATGCAGGTCTCTGTGAGCACACACACTTGAGATCTCGTGCTGTTGTGAGTTGCTGAGGTGCATGCAGACGTTAACAAGCCACTGCTGTGAGTGAGGCCGATGCGCCTCTGACAGCTCGAGGATCAGAGAGAATAGAGAATTTGAGGTGGGGCGGATTGCCTTATTTGAGATATTTGAACAAGTATCACTTACTCATTTAGCTAAATATTCAATAAGAAGGGAAACCGAAGATTCTTGGGTCTTTACTGATTCTGGAAATCAGTAATTACCTCCAACAGAAATGGACACCAGTCCCAGTGTGAGGAGATGCTGGTGAAGCACACACATGACTTTGCTGTCTGCTGGCTAACTTTTAGCAGGGGTCACCTGGAAAGTAAATACAGATTGCTTATTGATCAAATGGAATGGTCCCTGATGTGGATATTATAATTGTGAAGTGGAATTTTGTTTTTGTTCTGGGCCCTAAATATTTCCTTTTATAAAATTATTATTTTTGGGGTGCCTGGGTGGCTCAGTTGGTTGAGCATCTGCCTTTGGCTCAGGTCAGATCCCGGGGTCCTGGGACTGAGCCCCACATTGGGCTTCCTGCTCACTGGGGTCTGTTTCTCCCTCTCTATCTGCCTCTCCCCCACACCTAGCTTGTGCTCTCATTCTCACTCTCTCTCTCAAATAAATAGAATGTTTTAAAAAATTAAAATTATTATCTTTAAAATAATGCCTTTGAAATGATCGTGGACTACATGAAAGACTCACACACACAGGCCCTGGTTCCTTTACCTTTCCTCTTGAATCATTGACTTGTGCCTCTGCTTAACATCTCTCGGGATGGTTTCTGTATCTCTTTCTGGGGGATCTTTATGTCTTCATATGAGTCTCACCTAGGGGTTCTTTATGTTTTTATTTTTAATTAAGTAAATTGTATGCCCAGTGTGGGGCTTGAACTTTACAACCCTCAGATCAAGAGTCACACGCTCTACCTACTGAGCCAGCCAGGTGACCGCAGGGGTTCTTAATGTTGTAAAACTCCTAGCGTCTCACAGGGGTATCAGAGAGATCGTTTTTTGTGATACCAGGAAAGGAAGAGCAGATGAGGGGAAGAGATGACATTTTTGATGGAAAATGACATAAGCAGCGTTTGGATGGTCGAATATGCAGTAGGCTGTCTGCTATTTCTCTGTGTTCCCAGGGGATGTTCATAGCAGGGACTATGCCAAGCCAATTGCTAGTTTCATTTTACCTATGCTCGCTTGACAGTCTGGCAGCGGGACAGGTGGGGGGGAGGCCTGCCAAGTGGAAGACACTCTTCAATGTGACCTTTTCTCATGACGTACATTGAGAAGGAAGAGGGGAGGACAGGAGGGGATGAAGGTCACATTATGTCCAAGAGGAGAGGTGGCGGGATAGAAAACCCCTCCTCAGTCACTCTCCCTGATGACTGCAAGGGTCTGCTAGTGTCCTCGTTCTCAAGTGGGGTCTGGGGACCTCTGGGCTTCCTGAAGACGCTCTTGGGGATCTATGCGGCCCTCTTTTTCCAACTATCTTTCTGTGTGAGGCTAGGTGTTCTTCAAATACATCAATTAAAACAACATATTGCAAAAAATTGAATGCAGAGGCACAGAATCTAGTTCTTTTATTAAGACAGACATTAAAGAGATATACAAAAACATAAAGCAGCATTACTTTTCTCACTAATTTTTGTTTTGTAAATAATAGATTATTTTAAAAAATAAAAAAAAATGCTATTTGTGTTATCTAAGTCTTATTTATATTAACCTGTCATGGGGATCCCTGGGTGGCGCAGTGGTTTGGCGCCTGCCTTTGGCCCAGGGCACGATCCTGGAGACCCGGGATCGAATCCCACGTCGGGCTCCTGGTGCATGGAGCCTGCTTCTCCCTCTGCCTGTGTCTCTGCCTCTCTCTCTCTCTGTATGACAATCGTAAATTAAAAAAAAAAAAAAAAAAAAACATGTCATGGATTTATTGTTCTTTTAAAATAAACCACTACAGGGCAGCCCGGGGGGGGGGGGGGGGTTCAGCAGTTTAGCGCCACCTTCAGCCCAGGGCCTGATCCCGGAGACCCCGGATCGAGTCCCGCGTTGAGCTCCCTGCATGGAGCCTGCTTCTCCCTCTGCCTGTGTCTCTGCCTCTCTCTCTTTCTCTCTCTCTCTGTCACTCATGAATAAATAAATAAAATATTAAAATAAAATAAAATAAACCACTGCATGAATATTCAATAGTTTTCTGTTTTGATTTCTACTGTGGTCAATACAGATAGAGATAACTCACAGAAATGAAAGATCTTTGGGGTTCTCCGATAGTTGAGACTGTAAAGAGTTTGAGTTGATTGTTGAGAAACCAAAGAGTTTGTGAACTGTTTCTCCAGGGAAGAGCTTCTGTGTTCTGGAACCATTGCAGAAACAGTGATCCATAAAGAAGGCAAATACATTTTAGGGACATGTTAACCCTAGAAAGATAGGCCTTCCCCTCGAAACCACGGGCTTAAACAAAGTGGCCCCACCTACCTCAGGCCTTCCTTCTTCCTACGGCTGTCTACATGAAACACTCCATACTCCCTTGTACAATATAAACAGGAGGATGTGTGCTTAGTCCATAGGTTAAATGAAAATGTAGGAACTTGAATTTTGGTCTGGGCCCCTCTGTTGTTTTCACAATAAGCATAATTTTTTAAAAATATTTTATTTATTTATTTGAGAGAGGGAGTGTGAGAGAGAAAGAGCACAAGAAGGGGGGAGGGGTTGAGGCAGAGGGAGGAGCATATTCCCCACTGAGCAGGGAGCCTGATGTGGGGCATGATCCTAGGACCCTGGGATCATGGCCAGAGCCAAAAGCAGATGCCTAACTGACTGAGCCATCCAGGTGCTTCACAATTAGCATAATCTTGGGTGGATGAATTCATGCCTTGAAAATGAATAATTTTAGTTCATTTTGCCATGAAATTATGAAGAAAAAGAACTCTCTCTCTATGTCATCTATAGAATCCTGATCACTATACTCAAGAGCTGGAGAATTCCCCTCCACTGCTGACAGCTGAGGAAGAGGTGTTGTGAGGCAGCTGTCGCTGATGTTGGAGAACATGGCTCTCTTCTGTAGGTGAGTGGCTGGAAATCCTATGACCTGGGATTTGGTAGACTTCCCTTTCCTTTGCACAAAAAGCAGACCTCTTCTCTCAGGTAGATCCTCTTCACCAGAGGACAGAGAGTGAGGAACTGAGTCAACACTGCTGGATGATTTGCCCCGAATTCCCCAGTTTGGTGCCTTTAACCTTTCCTGGCAAGGAATGAGTGAGAATGTGCGGGGAGGTGATGCGTGTGAATGCTGGTGCACTACCCTCTGCATGGGAGTAGGTGCAAGCATTATTCCCCAAGCACATTCCTTCATTCATCAAGAGTTCCTGAGTGTCTGCTTTGTGGCTGCCACTCTTACTGCTTCTGAGAACCAGCCCTGAGTAGGGAGTTTCATGGAGCAAGGGAGAAGCTGGGAGGCAAAGGGCCAGCCTGTTTGCAGCCTATACAAACCCAAGGTTTGCTATGCAAGGATTACACAATAATCCTTGTGGGAGAGGTCAGAGGTTGGCAGCAAGATCCAGAGTAGATCTTACAAATCCTCATCACAAGAAAATGAAAGAGAGAAAATTCTGTATATGGTGATGGATGTCAACTAGACTTATTGTGGTGATTCATTCTGTGATGTGTACAAATATTGAATCATTAGGTTATATACCTGAGACTAATATAATGTCATATACCAGTTATACCTCGAGCATCATCATCGTCATCATCATCATCATCTAGCCTATAGATTCATGAGCTCAAAGCTGGGGCAATAGGTCGGCACCCCAGGCGCAGAAAGAATAAGTAAGGCAGGGGGTGTTCTGGACCGATGTCTTGCTCCCTGGCTTACATATCTGCAGCTTCCCTCCAGGAGGCAGCAGGTGTTTTGTGAACAGATGACTAAGGTTTGCTTAAGGGCCAAGGGTAGAGTGATCAGAGTTGGATTTCAGAAAAATAATTTGTTCCATACCTACTGTGTGCTAGATGCAGGCACTGGCCCCAGGATGGTTCCAGGGCCTCCCAGCCTCAACTGTCGTGGCCTACCCACCTTTCTGGAGGATGGAATTGAGGACACTTGGCAACCTACTGCAGCATACATGGCAGATTGGCTACTGCCATTATCCATCATCACAGCCATGGTGGACCCCCAAGCTTCCCCAAACACTGCTGCCCGTGTGTGTAGGGTGTGTGTGTGTGCTCTGCTCTCCCTGAATGGCCATTTCTCCGGACACTACCCCTCCTGGTGGGCTTGTCTTCTAAGTACCGCTGTGCTAGCTCCAGTGTTCTTGGAGGATATCCCCCCTCACTCCAGTGAATCACAACTCTGTTGCTCCAAGGGTCTTGCTCTTTGCATTTTACAGTGACTCCACTGAAAAACTTAGAAGAGTGCCCCTGAATCAGAGCTGGCAAGTTCTCAAAGGTCACCTTTTGGTGGTACATCAGTTGTATTCTCCACTCACTTGGAGCCAGGGTCTGAAGGTGGATCATGTGTTGGGTGATCAAACGGTTTGTGGTACAAACCGTGACAATTTGAAGAATGAGTGGAAGTGCTATGAATAATTATACCAGGACAACAGGGGTACTTTCTGGTCTTTCCTCTAACATCTCTCATTTTTTTAGGGTTAGTGGACAGATGCCCAATTATTAGACTGACAGTTTCCTTTTTATTTTTCTCTCAAGAAAGCCTAGGGAATTCTCATGGAAATTGTACTCTTCTTGACCTGTTCTGCTAAAATAAAAACAGTAGCTAGCATCTATATAGTACCTACCATAACTTAAGCACTATTCTATGTGCTTTTACATGTGTTAATTTATTCAATCTTCACCATCCCCTGAGACTGGTGGTCTAGTTTTATTCCTATTTTACAGACAAGAAAACAGGAGCACAGAGGTTAAACAAGTTTAATAGCTAGTTTGCCTAGCTAGTAGGTAGCAGAGCAAGATTTGAACCTGGAAGGCTCCAGAGCCTGTACATATAAGAACTACGCCTTCCTGCCTCCCTCCTGCACTCATTTAGTCCAACTGACATTTATCGAGGAACTTGTATATGCCTGGAAGAGTTCTGGGTGTGGCGGTACCAAGGAGAATGGACATGATGATGCCTGCCTCAGTTCCCCAGTGAGGAGGCTCAGTTTGGCCCACCCTTGTATGGGTAAAATAACATATAGGGTCTCCTCCAGGGAGTGTCAGTTATACCCTCACATAACATGTGGTTTTTTATTCTGCTCACAAGTTATCCTATTTGGATGGCTACTGCCAAGTTACCTTGGCTCCCAGTTCTTAGACTTCCTTATTATGAGCCATCCTTTGAACCCATAAACAAAATCTTTCAGTCAGAGGCAGTGGTCCCAAAGCAGTGTGCACTATTTATGATACTGCCAAGGGAGCGTTCTCAGCAGGCAAGGAGGGTTAATCAGAGCATTCTGGTGGCTTTCTCTACAATTGCCAATACCCCATGCTTTCCTGTTTGGGGGTACTCTGGTTTTGCAGAAAGGAGGAAGGGAGCAGAGTCTCCAGGGATGTTTTCTGAACATGCTCCTCAAAACATCTGATATGTATGACAACTATATACAATATGGGCGATCCTGGTAGAGTTTTTTTTCTAAGAATTCATAATGTCTAAACACAGGCATTCACATAAAACGAGGGGAAGGTTTTAATCTTGGAGTGGTACAAAGGGCTTTTTTTTTTTTTTTTTTTTTTTTTTTTTTTTTTTGGCATCAGCACAATTGTGAGAAACAGAGCACTTATTGTTTAGCATGTCAGGGCTCTGTGCCCGCCAAGGAAATGCTGATGAAGTAGTTCCAGTTTTGGGGGTGGGGGGTGCTGGTGGTGGTAAGGGGGTGGCAGGCTGGGGAGGGGGTCCTCAGAAGAAAATAAGAAAGCAAATGAATAAGAGTGTTTCATTTAGCCCACCCTTTAGGACGTCCTTCCAGGAGTGTCAAGGCAATGATGTGCATATGCCTATCCATGTGTTTAAAGTCAGAAAAATTACAAAAATGAACAAGGACCAACTCAATGTGCCCTGACTGCCCCAACTCAATGGTATTGTTTTGTCTGCTTTGATTTATATAGTGCTGTGCTGTGTACAAAGGACATGGGCATTCCTTCTCGTCTGAGTCCCACACCGTCTCCAGATAATGATATTTGACACACTCTGAAGGACGTTAGGATGTTAAAGCAGGGTGTTTCCAGGCAGAGCGTTTCTCAAACATAGTTTTCCCTAGATGAAGAACTATCCAGTATGTTGAGGTTAACCTGTTATCCAACTAAATTGAGCGCTGCTTGTTGAGGGCCCCACCCAATGAGAGGTATATCTGTTGACACTTTGTAGGGGTTAGGAATTGACTGTGACCAGGGTCACCTCTCTTACTTTTATGGCTTTGCAGAGGTAGGTCACGATGGGCTATGTTACAGATGGGAAGAGTACGGCTCAGAGTGTATAGAAGACTTCTTTTAAGTATTAGATCCAGGACCCAAGGCAAAGCTGGTCAAAGAGCACCAACTTGCCATGGGCCCACCCCGTTTCTTCCTGGGAATGCTGTATGGACTCTTAAGGAAACTTTTTCCTCATGTGTTCACACTCCGATTAATGAACTTTACATTTTGGAAAGGACACTCCTAGAGAACAGGAGAGAGAGAGAGAGAGAGAGAGAGAGAAAGAAAGAGAGTGTGTGACAGACAGAGACAGAGACAGAGATAGAGTCTTGTTAATGCAGATTGAGCTCAGCCCTAAGTTGCAAGGGAGTCTTCCCTCCCATTTTATTATAAAACTTTTCTTTTTTTATTATAAAACTTTTCATACATACAACAAAGATGAAAGAATTTTATAGTGAACATATGCATATTACATTCTGCCGTTAATAGTTTACTACAGTTATTCAATCATGCATCTCTCTATCTATCCACCCATCTAGTATATGTGCTGCCGAAGCGAGCACATCTATCCACCCATCTAATCATCCATCTAGCCATAGCTCCATCGTTAGGACTCTGTCTTTTCTTGATGCATTTCAAAGTAAATTGCAGATATCAGTGCACTTCCCCCTAAATAATTCATAAGGCACATGTTTAACTTAAATTCAGTGTTTGTTTATAGTCTTCTTTTGATGTAAGACTTACATGCACATCTACTGAGCTTTGGTAAATATCCCAGCCCCCCTTAAGACAAAAAATACCCCCATCTCCTCAGAAAGGTCCTTGACACCCCTTCCAGTCCATTCCTGCCTCCTTCTCCCTCGCGGACAACGGCTCCGAGTTTTCCACCGCTGTACTCTTGGGTGAGGCTTCATCCACTCGGCATAACGTTTTTGACACTCATCCATCCACACTGTTGTGGGTATCAGGAGTTTGTTCCTTTTATTTGAGTGTACGAACATGCTATCGTTGGTTTATCCATTTTTCCCACTGATGGGCTTTTCTCAGCTTTAGGATTTCAGGAATAAAGCTGTTAGGAATATTCTCGTACACGTCTTTTTGTGAATATATGTTTTATTGCTCTTGGGTAAATGTCTGGGAGAAGCTTACTGAGTCAGAGGGTAGGTGTATGTTTAGTTTGATAAGAAGCTGTCAGCCCGTTTTATAGCACCACGATGATGCGTGGTGGTTCTGGGTGCCCGCATCCTTGCTGGTGTTTGGTGGTGTCTGTCATTTAAAATGTAGCCGTTCTGGTGCGTGTCTAGGTGGACAGTTGGTGCTGGCAGCAGTGATGATAGCCGTGATGGAGGGGTAGATGTCTCTCTAGCACAAACTACGGTTGATACTCCTGAGTTTACTGGGAAACTCATAGCTCTAGCTCTGGAAGTCCCCACCCTCAGGGTTTCTGATTGACAGATGGAAGTGCTTGGGGCAGTTCTGATTTTCAGGCTAATGCTCCTCGTACAATAAGCTCACTTAGGGCTTCTTTGTGTAGCCTGGATGCTTCGCTTTAACCCCGGTGACATTTCTTAGCTCTCCTTCTTTGTCACACAAACCTCTTAGGCCGGATTGCAATTTCTCTTCCTTTTCAGAGTTTTCACCCAGCGGAAGGTTGATGATTCAAATGTCAAGAGAGGCAGACTCCAAATAAAATGCAGAATAAACAATTTTGAAGACTTAGACCTCTCTTTTCTGTCTTTGTTACTTCTCAAGCCTCTTCTGATTCCCACAGAATAGTATGAAAAAAACCCTAAACAAGCTCGGAGTTAGGAGAGCTGGCCTTTGAATTTAGCTGTGTGGCTAATGCTGCTGGGTCATTTCATTCATCTGGATTGGGTGCTTTGACTTTTTGGGCCATGGATTCCTTGCTGGTAGAACGAGGCTGAAACAAATTATATTTAAGGCTTCATGCTTTTCTGAAATTTCCAAATCACTTTCTATTCTGTTTAGAAGAAACTTTGTAATGCTTTAATGTAAACATTCTACTTAAAACAATTTTAAGTGGTCCTATAGTTTTTCTTTCATCCCCTCTAGCACTTTAATGACACCCCGACATATTCCCGGTGACAGGTATCTCTTTTACATATTGACTTAAAGGTTTCCTTAATGACACCTTTGACTGTTATCAGATGCTGCACTTCACTCTGGTATAGAAGGATTTAATCTCAAACGATGGAAGTGCTGGGTGACTTGGTATTTATTTCATATGTGCTCTGGGATCTTTATGGGCCGCCTAGGTGTTTGCACTGGATTCATTAATTTTCTCCCACTTACGTCATTACTGTTCGGTGTCCAGTAGCATTCTATAATTGGGTGGTATGGCAAAGAGAGAAGAGTGTGAGAAAGAATGTTTCCGTGGCTGCCTCCTGCCTGCAGGCAGTCATTCTGGTGCAGAAGGAAGGGAGATGGGAATAGCTAGAGAGGGTTGGCTTCAGGGGAAACGGACAGCCCAAATCGCAGTGAAAACCAGATATGGGGTTGAAGAGATAGAGTCTGCGATAAAGGTGTTTTCCCTGGCACCGCTGCTAATGCCTTGGCTGCGTGGGAGATTTTCCTGGGTTTTTATTCCCTGCGATCCCAGGAAGAGCAAGTATCCTGGTCACAGAAAAAACCTTCAACTACAGCTCAAACATGGGCCCCCAACCCTCTCAAGCTATAGGGTTTCCAGCACAGAATGCTGAGCAAACACACCAGGTGCCTCTCCGCACTGATTGTGGGTTTTGGTGCTAACCAGAGAGCTCTGCAGATGATGCTGAAGGTCACATGAAGGTAGAGGATCCGCAAAACAGCACGAAGCACCACCCAACTGCAAGCTAATTGGGAAGGAAATGATTTCAAACTGACAGACTGTGGCCTGATAACCGAAATCTCACAGGGACAAAAGGTTCGTGTCATTTAAAGGGGTAGCTTTGCCTATTTAAATTGTGCAAACAAAAGAAATGAAAACCCCCTCGTGGGATGGGAAGTTCTATTAGCAGATATTACCATCCTTGCTTTTATGCCCTCCTGTGTCACAAACCCTGAACATGTGCTGCGTGTCCTCAGGCATTCATTGGTTA